TATTAACAACATAAAAAGTAAAGTAAAAAATGAAATATCAAAATAAAACAATAAAATCATTACGAAAATGTGATGTTGATATTCAGTAGTAAGGTTCGACTTACGTCCATTTTGACTTACGACCGGCTGGTTGGAACCAAGCTCGGTCATAAGTCAGATGGCAGGTGTAGTTATTTATTGACTTATTATATCATTCATATTTGACTTAAAATATTTTAAACTTGCAATGGGTTCGTGGGAGCGAAACCCCACTGTAAGTCGACGAGCACCTGTAGTCCAAAATCAAACGTAAAAAGTATTTTAAAAATTCACATTATTCCATTATTATGAGATGACAAACATATTAATCTTGAAACATATATAAAAATAATGCTACTACACTTTTTATGATAATTAACAAAGTGATCCTCTCAAATAATACATAAGTTTCACAAGGCAAGCCGTTCAGCCTTTTATAATCCAGCCTTACAGACTTACCTTCAGTCGTTGGGAAGCTCTAAATTCGTACTGATTATACAGCACCTGAGAAACAACAAATGATGTTTTTTATATATAAGACGATTCAGTAAAAACAAAGCAACAAGGCAGGGTGACCCAAAAAAGAAGACACTTTGACCATCACTCGCACCATCACCATCTTGTCAGAGGCACACAGATACACATCCTTAATAATTAAGTACTACAGTGGACCCCCGCATAACGATCACCTCCCAATGCGACCAATTATGTAAGTGTATTTATGTAAGTGCGTTTGTACGTGTATGTTTGGGGGTCTGAAATAGACTAATCTACTTCACAATATTCCTTATGGGAACAAATTCGGTCAGTACTGGCACCTGAACATACTTCTGGAGTGAAAAAATATCGTTAACCGGGGGTCCACCATATTTGCAACTTTCCGTATTTAGAGCCCTTGGTTTACCTTCATGCTGCCTTAATAAAACACCGATAAAACAAGGATAATGTAATTACGAAACCATTTATCCTAAAGTACACTAACTTACATTTACTGGTACAAAAAAACCCATTACAAAAATTCATAATTGATCAACAATTTGGAGAGGAAATATTTAGCAGGCATTTGTTTCATTGTGTACTTTTATAGTGGCCCAGGATGTACCTTTGTTAAGTGACTTTATAAAGGTCAAAGATGTACCTTTGTCAGTACAATGGTACAGGATGTACCTTTGTCAAGTAACTTTATAAAGGTACAGGATGTGCCTTTGTTAAGTGACTTTATAATGGTACAGGATGTACCTTTGTCAATACAATGGTACACAATGTACCTTTGTCAATACAATGGTACACAATGTACCTTTGTCAGTACAGTTGTACACAATGTACCTTTGTCAGTACAGTGGTACACAATGTACCTTTGTCAGTACAGTGGTACACAATGTACCTTTGTCAGTACAGTGGTACACAATGTACCTTTGTCAGTACAGTTGTACACAATGTACCTTTGTCAGTACAGTGGTACACAATGTACCTTTGTCAGTACAGTGGTACACAATGTACCTTGGTCAAGTAACTTTACAAAGGTACAGGATGTGCCCTTGTTAAGTGACTTTATAATGGTCAAAGATGTACCTTTGTTATGTGAGTTTATAATGGTCCAGGATGGTACTGTAACTTATTTTCACAAGACAAAGATGTGTGTAATAAATGTGTATAATATGTAATATCTGGTGCAAAATTAATATGTAGTCACGTTGTGTGGAGTGCCGAACCTTGATACGACGGGCCTGGGAGAGAGAATCCAGCCTAGGAGAGACAGTCCGGCCCTCGACCACTGCACCTCAGAGGGACGTGAGAACTCTCCAGCCACAATACAGTAAGTAATCGATTTACAAACACGTTCAGAATTTTCTGTATTGAGTATATCATTAATATACACAATACAGAAGGTCCCCAAAGTGTTTGAAACTCGAGGACTTACTGGATAGTTGTGAGACGGTTGGTGTTACCAGAGTCAGCAACTAACACAAGCCTTCCCACAGTACATTACCATCGAATTATTGTAACCGTCTGTGGTGTGGTGGTAAACAAACCTGCGACCTCATGGCTATCAAACCACTGACTGAAGCCTGAGCGATTCGCTGAATTCTTACATGTATGTATTACGGGAAGAGAATAAAGTGTGGTAAAGTTTATCATTATTATTATGAGGAAGAACTGGAGCAATGGGTGTCAAAGGTCACAATCAGGTACAGAGAATAACTTCAACAGACTACAGTCCCTCATCTGGTATTACAGCTCCTGTACCCAGACAAACACAGAGAATAACTTCAACAGACTACAGTCCCTCATCTAGTATTACAGCTCCTGTACCCAGACAAACACAGAGAATAACTTCAACAGACTACAGTCCCTCATCTAGTATTACAGCTCCTGTACCCAGACAAACACAGAGAATAACTTCAACAGACTACAGTCCCTCATCTAGTATTACAGCTCCTGTACCCTGACAAACACAGAGAATAACTTCAACAGACTACAGTCCCTCATCTAGTATTACAGCTCCTGTACCCAGACAAACACAGAGAATAACTTCAACAGACTACAGTCCCTCATCTATTATTACAGCTCCTGTACCCTGACAAACACAGAGAGGCTATTAAATGTTTGAATTACAAAACACTACAGAGAATACAATAACTATTCCTTACATTTAACAAACCCTCAGAGACAAAAATATTCTCCCATCTAATAACTAGCATTATACAATATATTTTATATATATATAGATTTATATTAATCACTTTGATATCCAAATTTACACAGGAAAACAAAAAATAATTTTAAAGCTTTGAAAAATAGCAAAGATTTGCTGATTTTTTCTGTTTAAAAGAATAAGAAAAATGTCAGTGTAGTGACAGTGTAGTGACAGTGTAGTGTCAGTGTAGTGTCAGTGTAGTGACAGTGTAGTGACAGTGTAGTGACAGTGTAGTGTCAGTGTGGTGACTGTCAGTGTAGTGACAGTGTAGTGACAGTGTAGTGTCAGTGTAGTGACAGTGTAGTGACAGTGTAGTGACAGTGTAGTGTCAGTGTAGTGACAGTGTAGTGACAGTGTAGTGACAGTGTAGTGTCAGTGTAGTGACAGTGTAGTGACAGTGTAGTGACAGTGTAGTGTCAGTGTAGTGACAGTGTAGTGACAGTGTAGTGTCAGTGTAGTGTCAGTGTAGTGACAGTGTAGTGACAGTGTAGTGACAGTGTAGTGTCAGTGTAGTGACAGTGTAGTGACAGTGTAGTGACAGTGTAGTGACAGTGTAGTGACAGTGTAGTGTCAGTGTAGTGACAGTGTAGTGACAGTGTAGTGACAGTGTAGTGTCAGTGTAGTGTCAGTGTAGTGTCAGTGTAGTGACAGTGTAGTGACAGTGTAGTGACAGTGTAGTGTCAGTGTAGTGACAGTGTAGTGTCAGTGTAGTGACAGTGTAGTGTCAGTGAGTGTAGTGACAGGGAGTAGTGTGCAGTGTAGTGACAGTGTAGTGACAGTGTAGTGTCAGTGTAGTGACATGTAGTGAGTGTAGTGCAGTGTAGTGACAGTGTAGTGACAGTGTAGTGTCAGTGTAGTGACTAGTGCTGTAGTGACAGTGTAGTGTCAGTGTAGTGACTGTAGTGACAGTGTAGTGACAGTGTAGTGACAGTGTAGTGTCAGTGTGGTGACAGTGTAGTGACAGTGTAGTGACAGTGTAGTGACAGTGTAGTGACAGTGTAGTGTCAGTGTAGTGCTGTAGTGCAGTGTAGTGACAGTGTAAGTGTGACAGTGTAGTGTCAGTGTGTGACAGGTGTGACAGTGTAGTGTCAGTGTAGTGACAGTGGTGATAGTGACAGTGTAGTGTAGTGTGAGTGTACAGTGTAGTGACAGTGTGTGACAGTGTAGTATGTAGTGTCATGTGTGAGTGTGTGACAGTGTAGTGTAGTGTGTGTCAGTGTAGTGTCAGTGTAGTGACAGTGGGCTGTGGTGACATGTAGTGTCAGTGTAGTGAGTGTGTGACAGTGTAGTGTCAGTGTAGTGTCAGTGTAGTGACATGTGTAGTGCAGTGAGTGCAGTTGGTGACATGAGTGTCAGTAGTGACTGTGTGTACAGTTAGTTCAGTGTGGTGACAGTAGTGTCAGTGTGTGCAGTGTAGTGTCAGTGTAGTGACAGTGTAGTGCAGTGGGACGTGTGCAGTGTGTGCACGTGTGTCAGTGTAGTGTCAGTGTGTAGTGACAGTGTAGTGTCAGTGTAGTGACAGTGTAGTGTCAGTGTGGTGACAGTAGTGTCAGTGTAGTGACAGTGTAGTGTCAGTGTGTGACAGTGTAGCGTCAGTGTAGTGACATGTAGTGTCAGTGTAGTGACAGTGTAGTGTCAGTGAGCTGTGACAGTGTAGTGTCAGTGCGAGTGACAGTGTAGTGTCATTGTATGACATGTCAGAAGTAGTCAAGTGAGAGTACAGTGTAGTGCAGGTAGTGATCAGTGTAGTGTCAGTGTAGTGAATTGATGTCAGGTGTAGTGACACTGTATGTCATGTAGTGAACATTGTAGTCATGATGTATGTACAGTGAGTGCAAGGCATATGACTGAGTGTTCAGTGTAATCCAGTTAAAGTGTACAGTAATAGTACAGATCATGTGTGTTGTGTGATGGACATGTGAGACACACTTCAATAATGCAACATGTGAAAAATCATCTTGTTTGAAAACATATTATAACATCAGAAAGTACGCCAAATGTGAAGGTACAATTAACAGGTCACCAGGAACACCTAGTTAAACTTTGTACTACAAAATATTGAACGACTGCATCTTGACATATGTTGACAACTGGTGCACACTGTTAGGCTCAATGCAACATGGCTGTCAACATGTGATCTGATCTGCAACACATACAATGTACTCAACAAGTTCAAAAATCAGCAGATACATCAATCACATGCTGCATATAACACGTTAAATATATCACAGGAATAGTGATTTGATGCCTTGTAAGTATTAACATGTACTGTTAAGGTATTGAACATGTACTGTTAAGGTATTGAAAATGTACTGTTAAGGTATTGAACATGTACTGTTAAGGTATTGAACATGTACCAGGCAACAAGTCTATAATGAACCCCAGGTTCACCTCTTGTGAATGGCATAATACAACATCCTGAAATTACTACAAGGAAAACAAAAAGTGAGATCACGAAAGAAACTGGGCGCGAAACACAAAAATGACTTGTCAGCTACGAGTATTGTCAATCTAGGCTGCGTAGAAATATTTTATAAAACACTATATTTATAAATTTAAAAGCTCAAAATAGTGTTAGCAAATAGAGAGAGTTTACACTTCTATAGATGGGACCAGGAGCTATGATTCAACCCCTGCTACCACAAATAGATGAGCACTCCTTAATATGCCGAAACCAATGGCTTGCGTCACGCTTGTGTATTTGCCGTCAAGGGAATCTCATGTGACGATTCCCGTGTGTGTGTACATCAGGAGGAACCACAGCTGGAGCTCAACACACTAGTCGTCCCCCAGTTGCTCCTCGAAGCCGTCTGATTCAGTGACGAGGGCTCGTTCCAGGATGACCCGTCCTTCCTTGTACCTGGAAATACCATTTTATTTGTTACTGGCTGATTGATGCAACAATAAAATAACATACATGACAAACAATAACGATGAGTGAACATAATATTGAAAAATGACAAGCATAGAATAATAAATGACAAATGAACGTTTATTTAACCCGTAAACGGTCCAAGCAGATCTACGTTCACATGTGTAGCGCTACAAAAGTAGATCTACGTTTTTTTTACATATTTAAAAAAAAAAAAGTAGATCAAAATTTTTTTACACATTTTCAAATGTAAAAAAAACAAAAAGAATATCTACTTTTTTTACATACTTTCAAATGTTGAAAAAACGTATATATACGTTTGGACCGTTTACGGGTTAAAAAAAGAAAAAAACAACATAATTTTGTGCCAAAGACTGACTTACACTGGTTGTTTAATATACTGACAAGCCCAGACATGTGTAAAACATTCTGGTCAAAAACTAGAAGTTAAACTATTCAGGTTTGATAAACCTAAATTGTTTAAGGATAAAACTACCTAAGAAACTGGTTATTCATAGAGACAAAACTCTGGCTATTACAACATTAGTGTAAACATGAAGGTCAACAACACTGATAATGTTAACATGAAGGTCAACAACACTGATAATGTTAACATGAAGGTCAACAACACTGATAATGTTAACATGAAGGTCAACAACACTGATAATGTTAACATGAAGGTCAACAACACTGATAATGTTAACATGAAGGTCAACAACACTGATAATGTTAACATGAAGGTCAACAACACTGATAATGTTAACATGAAGGTCAACAACACTGATAATGTTAACATGAAGGTCAACAACACTGATAATGTTAACATGAAGGTCAACAACACTGATAATGTTAACATGAAGGTCAGCAACACTGATAATGTTAACATGAAGGTCAACAACACTGATAATGTTAACATGAAGGTCAGCAACACTGATAATGTTAACATGAAGGTCAGCAACACTGATAATGTTAACATGAAGGTCAGCAACACTAGACAACACTGTTTAGTGTTACTGAAATTTTTATGAGGGAAGAAATAGTTGAAAAATTAAGTGCATGAGTATCAATGTTGATTGCAATCTGGCTAGCAACACTGAATACATATACTGGACATTTATATTCCAACTTAATAAACTTACATCAAGTTTATGTAGCTTTTCAAGCAGTATTTTAAAACATTTGACAGACAGATAATTTTTTGGGACCTTTTATTTGCATAGATTATGTTCTTATAAAGGACCTGCCTAGTATGGGCCAGCGGGCCTCCTGCAGTTTTCCTCCTTTCTTATGTTCTAGGTTTTCTACTGAGGACGAGTTGAACATGTGGAATATGAGAGACATGTGTGTGTCTTGTATAGTGTCTATACTGGAGCTCCTGAAGAAGTCTTCGAGCCGGGGTTACATTGTATTCATTGTCCTGTACTTACAGAAGGCACAGTAGTAAGTTTACATTTCATGCGTCACGTCAATTTAAACTTTCCAATAGTGGGTGTGTGTGCTGTTTGCAACCTGACTGAGTGAGCATTCTGATACCTGATTTGTGGAGTTACAATTGGAGTCACGATGTTATTGTTGTAGGCAATTTGAAGCTTGTAATATTTGTTTACAGTAAATTAGGCAAACCTCCATGGGGAAATGGAACAGAATTCTTCCTCAGTAAGTTATGCGTGTCATAAGAGGCGACTAAAATGCCGGGAGAAAGGGGCTAGTAACCCTTTCTCCTGTATAAATTACTAAATTTAAAAAGAAAAACTTTTGCGTTTCTTCTTAGGTCACACTGCCTTGGTGGGATACAGCTGGTGTTAAAAAATATTAGATAAAATAGTTCATAGGTTCAGAAAGTCACTGACTTTAAATCAATCTGAACTTTGGCGTTCAACAGTGTAATATTTAATATAGTTCAAGCTACTAACACAGAAACATCATGAAGACAGTTGCTAGAGCAGGTAGAGAGACAAGACAAGCGTGCGTGAGTGTGTTAGATAGGAGTGAATGGAGACGAATGATACTTGGGACCTGATGATCTGTTGGAGTGTGAGCAGGGTAATATTTAGTGAAGGGATTCAGGGAAACCGGTTATTTTCATATAGTCGGACTTGAGTCCTGGAAATGGGAAGTACAATGCCTGCACTTTAAAGGAGGGGTTTGGGATATTGGCAGTTTGGAGGGATATGTTGTGTATCTTTATATGTGTATGCTTCTAAACTGTTGTATTCTGAGCACCTCTGCAAAAACAGTGATAATGTGTGAGTGTGGTGAAAGTGTTGAATGATGATGAAAGTATTTTCTTTTTGGGGATTTTCTTTCTTTTTTGGGTCACCCTGCCTCGGTGGGTCACCCTGCCTCAGTGGGTCACCCGTCTCGGTGGGTCACCCTGCCTCGGTGGGTCACCCTGCCTCGGTGGGTCACCTTGCCTCGGTGGGTCACCCTGCCTCGGTGGGTCACCCTGCCTCAGTGGGGCACCCTGCCTCGGTGGGTCACCCTGCCTCAGTGGGTCACCCTGCCTCGGTGGGAGACGGCCGACTTGTTGAAAAAAAAAAAATTAACAAAGTATACCACAGGGCAATCATGAATCTATAACAGATAAAGAAACCAAGGTTATGTAGCACAGTACTAATTTATTGAGTTTTGCACTGAGGCGAGGTGACCAGAAAAAGAAGAAACACTTTCATCATCGCTCACTCCATCACTGTCTTGCCAGAGGCGCACCAATACTACAGTTCAAACCTGCAACAGTCAGGCTCAATTCTAGGAACTGGAGCACAGGTTCAACTCTTCAGATGACGAACCTTTCACTAGGATCAAGGAACCTCCCTAGATGGGTTCACTTTCATTATATAACTCTTCACTACAGCACACATCACATGCTGTATATCGTACACAATTATTGATACAACTGCAACACTGTGAGGCAAACCTGTATGTACTGTACTTTATAATAAATTAATTTGGTTACCATGTATCAGTATTATATTTATAAATAAGCATTTCAGTTTTAAATGGTATGTTTTAACCTTACAAGAGGAAGCAATGTAGGTGTACAAAGGCTAACTTAATTAAAAGGACACGTGTAACTAACGTGACATTTTATTGTGTCACATTAGTTGCACTTGGGGCCTTTTACCTAACATAATGTGGGTAATTCTACCAACATTATTGCAAAGGCAGGTTTGTTTCTTTTTTCAATATGTCAGCCATCTTGCATCAAGGCAGAGCGACCCAAAAAAGAAAGCAATACTTTAACCATTATTTACACATAATCACTGTCTTTACAGAGGTGCTCAGATACAACAATTTAGATGTCACTGCAAACAGTCAATATTTATTATATATATTTTCTCAAAAATTAGGAGTGTGTGTACCACTGTATTATACAAATCAAACTCCTCATTGAGTGGTATTTCAAGAGCCAGTACTTCCCAAACATGTGGTCAGATGCGGCCTGATTCTCCGAGACAATGTACATCGCATGTATACGAAAACAAAAATTAGTGGTTAACTAACCTCTGATTTTCCTCGGTAGCAAACTCGTAGATCCAACCTAACTTTGCACTGCAGTTCTTGCACGACACATCCCGCACCATGTGACGCCCGGTGAGCATTACTCGGTCCTGCACCTCGCTACAACAAACAGGATAATTAACATCACTTCCATGGGCTGCACTGAGCGGTCCTCTACGGTGAGACCTATGACAACAACAACTTTGCAAACATATAATTATTGAAAAGCAAGGGCATGAGTAGGTTCTCTTTCTTGATATTGTTGTGTTTAATATTTGGGGGAATCCACATTGTGGTTCATATGTAGGAAGAAAGTCTGTACTCAAAGTCAAAGATATACAGTGGACCCCGCTTTACGATCAGCTCCCAATGCGACCAATTATGTAAGTGTATTTATGTAAGTGCGTTTGTATGTGTATGTTTGGGGGTCTGAAATGGACTAATCTAATTCACAATATTCCTTATGGGACGAAATTCGTTCAGTAATGGCACCTGAACATATTTCTGGAATGATATAATATCGTAAGCCGGGGGTCCACTGTATTTCCACATGATAGAATGTCTGTTCTGAGATGGGTGACATTTGGTCATGCATGCAGCATTTAGTAAGCCTTCAATTTAATGTATTTTGGAAATAAGTGATAAAATCTGCTGGGTCGAGTGATTCTGATACAATGGACAAAGTCAACTGTAAATCAACACATCAAAATACAAGTCAGTCAAGACAGCTAGAAGCTTGTAAATAGAAGACCTCTTTTACTGTCATAGTAAAAAAATAATTTTTTTTACAATCTTTAGGTGTAATGACTCATGAAATCGTAATGACACGATTGCAAACAAACCATACCCCGGGTGGGATAGAACCTGTGGCAGTGAAGGGACTTGAGCTACAGTTCGTCACGGCCACGCTAGCTGGAGATTCGTCTGTAAAAACTTGCATTTGTGGTCACAGTGGTGGCCTATGCTAACCTTCCTATGGTGTAGAAATATACCTAGTTGGATGAATCTTATTGTGGCTAGCTGGTCTAGTGGCTAATGCGACGGGCTGGAGTTTTGAGACTCTCTGACCGCGGGTTCAATCCTGGCCGGGGGTATGGTTTGTTTGAAATCGTGTCATTACGATTTCTTGAGTCAGTCTTGAAAAGGTGGATCCAATTCCTTGCATCAAGAGCCCTTCACCAACCTCAAGGTAACCCCCCCCGCTAAAGAGTTTCTGTACAAGGAAAACACTACAGATGCTCCTCGACTTACAACAGGGTTACGTTCCGATGGACCCATCATAAAACGAAAATATTGTAACGTGAATATGAAACGATAAATAACTACTGTCACTGAATAAGTAAATAAATAAATAATTACTGTAACTAAATACAGTGGACCCCCGGTTAACGAACTTTTTTCACTCCAGAAGTATGTTCAGGTGCCAGTACTGACCGAATTTGTTCCCATAAGGAATATTGTGAAGTAGATTAGTCCATTTCAGACCCCCAAACATACACGTACAAACGCACTTACATAAATACACTTACATAATTGGTCGCATTTGGAGGTGATCGTTAAGCAGGGGTCCACTGTACCAGTATGTATCAAAAAGTCAATAAATGAATACAATTTATGGACTTGTTACCTTCATATTGGGTAATTATCTTAAGTTTCATCTCCAAAGTAATTGCTGCCACACCATCGTAAAGTTGAAATATTTTAAGTCGAACCATCGTAAGTTAAGGAGTACTTGGACAGTACTAAGCTACACTATGTACGTACCTATAGGTAAGATTGACGACCCGCTTGAAGAGGAACGCTCGACCAGTGGCGCCAGTGAAGCGGGTTGATATAAGCTCGGTACGGTTGGTGAGAATGGTGTAACAGGTTGCACAAGAGAAGAGTCTAGTTCCTCCGATGTGCTCCAAGAAGATACGACCCATCTTGAATTAGCACTTCACGATATCTATCTTCTGGAAAAATTTGGGGATTTTTAACCCAGAGGGGTTAGCAAGACAGGATAAGTGTCAAGATACGGCTCATTTATTATTATTATTATTATTATTATTACTATTCTGATTATTGCTACTACCATCTTTATTCTTATTCTCCTCATTATTATTATACTATAATAGCCAAGAAAAAAGCTCTATACTCAGAGAGGTTATAGAAGCGCTGAGGAAAGTAGCTCCAACTACCTGAATGAAGAGCCCTTCACTATGGAGACAGCACTAAACCCAGTAGATAACACATGCCTGGGGAAGGAGAGGCAATCACATCTCATCCAAGGAAAGAGAGAAAGCATTTCATTGGATAAACAGCCTTTACCGCTTGGACAGCGGTGCAATGCTTGACTCAAATCCAAGTCGACCCTAGTACGAGTTTTGAACAAGGATAATGGTATGGGCAGGTCACCTACCACCTGCCGACCCTTTATAACTAGTGGCAAATACAGTGGAACCTCAAAAATCGAACTTAATTCGTTCCAGGAGTTAGTTCTAAATTCGAAAAGTCTGAAATTCGAAGCAATATTTCCCATAAGAAATAATGGAAATACAATTAATCCGTTCCAGAAACCCAAAAATATTCACACAAAAAATACATTTTATAGAGATTAATTACAGTTTTACATACAACAAATACTATAGTTTTTAATTATGTATAATAATACATATAAAATAATATTTTTACTTACCTTTATTGAAGATTGGTGATGGCATCTGGAAGATAGGGAGGAGGAGAGAGGGAGTTGGGGTTAGTGTTTGGAAGGAGAATCCCCCTCCACGAGGACTTCAGGTAAAGCTCTCTCTGGGGTTACTTCCCTTCTTGCCTCTAGGACCAGCTTGAGAGTCACTGGACCCCTGTCTCACAAAATAACTGTCTACAGTCCTCTGTTTCTGTCTCACAAAATAACTGTCCACAGTCGTCTGTTTCTGTCTCACAAAATAACTGTCCACAGTCGTCTGTTTCTGTCTCACAAAATAACTGTCCACAGTTGTCTGTTTCTGTCTCACAAAATAACTGTCTACAGTCCTCTGTTTCTGTCTCACAAAATAACTGTCCACAGTTGTCTGTTTCTGTCTCACAAAATAACTGTCTACAGTCCTCTGTTTCTGTCTCACAAAATAACTCCACAGTCGTCTGTTTCTGTCTCACAAAATAACTGTCCACAGTCCTCTGTTTCTGTCTCACAAAATAACTCCACAGTCGTCTGTTTCTGTCTCACAAAATAACTGTCCACAGTCCTCTGTTTCTGTCTCACAAAATAACTCCACAGTCGTCTGTTTCTGTCTCACAAAATAACTGTCCACAGTCCTCTGTTTCTGTCTCACAAAATAACTCCACAGTCGTCTGTTTCTGTCTCACAAAATAACTGTCCACAGTCCTCTGTACATCCTGGCAAGCTCAACAAGTCTCACACCACTCTCATACTTCTGTATTATTTCCTTCTTCACATCTATGGTGTTTCTCACTTTCTTTACCACAGGGGTACCACTAGCAAGTTTCTTTGGGCCCATGGCAGCTTATTTCACAGTCCCACAAGCACTAAATACAATTAAATAATCGTAAAATGTGTGAATGAGATCGCAGGTTAGTGTTCACTCAAGCATAAAGAAAGCTAGACTGCTCACGGCGCCTGCGCGGGGACGCGGACAGAGCGGGCGGCAGACAGGTCCCGTACCCGGCGGTCCGAAAATAGGGGAACGTTCGATAATAGGGACACAGTTTGTCCGAAAAAATGGTCTTATTTTCGAAACGTTCAATATGTGATACGTTCGACTTTTGAGGTTCCACTGTATTATTATTCTATTTTTTTGTGAGTTAAAGTTTATTTAGACACGGGTACATGTAAGTACAACGTTTATTTAGACACGGGTACATGTAAGTACAACGTTTATTTAGACACGGGTACATGTAAGTACAACGTTTATTTAGACACGGGTACATGTAAGTACAACTATCATACATAGTGCAAATTACCTTGGGGGATCCAAGGAAGTGTAAATTATTTGGATCAAGAGCTAATGACCAGCGTCAAAGCACCTCCAAAACTTGGAGGATAGCTGGAAACAGGTAACCAAGGCTGTGGAGTCGGTATATAAAACATTTGACTCCAACTCCTTTATTTATGGTGCCTCCAACACCAACTCCGACTCCAGTAACCCAAGAATTATTAATGACTCCAACTCCGCAGCCCTGCAGGTAACATTGTGCTATGTGACTGTTATAAGTCGCATCCTGGGGGGGGGAGAACCTTATAAAAAGGACCCCAAAGGAAGCAACCCACATTTATTTGCTTTACCGGGTCAGCATCAGAAAATGTTAAATTCGATGGTCAGTCCCTTAGCCTAAAGCAGAGGCACGAGGCCACCAAACATATACTGGAGCCAGAAATGAGGGGCAGAAGCTGCAGGTGATGTCATATGTAAGTCCTGTGTTATGGTTGCTGTATTTATCTGCTGCATCAGCCAAACACTTCAACAATAAATACCTGTGATTATAATTATTATAATCATAGGGGAGTACTAAACCCTAAATACCTGTGTAAGATTTCAATAGTTTTCCCAGGCCAGGCTTGTCTGGTTAACCAGGCTGTTGCTGTATACCTGGAGTATACCTGGAGAGTGTTCCAGGGGTCAACGCCCCCACGGCCCGGTCTGAGACCAGGCCTCATGGTGGATCAGGGCCTGATCAATCAGACTGTTACTGCTAGCTGCACGCAATGCAGCATACGAACCACAGCCCAGCTGGTCAGGTACCGACTTTAGGTGCTTGTCCAGTGCCAGCTTGAAGACAGCCAGGGGTCTATTGGTAATCCCCCTTATGTATGCTGGGAGGCAGAGGCGTCGCTAGGGTTGGTGTCACCCGGTGCGGAATCTCTGGTGTTACCCGGGGCAGCATCTTTGGTGTCACCCCCATGAAATCCAAGGGCCGGGGATGGGGGAGTAAACTCCAGTTACATCACTGCTACTTGACCAGTGACTAATGTTTAGCAATGAGAACGTTTAACCCTTTGACTGTTTACAACGTATAAATACGTCTTACGAGCCAATGTTTCTGACGTTTTTATACGCACAAATTCTAGCGGCTTCAAATCAAGCGGGAAAGGCCTGGTAGGCCTACATAAGATAGAATGGGTCTCAGTGGTCGGTGTGCACCCTGTGAAAAAAACCTGGGACCCAGCGGTGCATTGTGGGAACGCCATCTTGTTAGTCCATTTTCACCATGCCTCTCGGGAAGAAGTTCCTCACTCCTCGGCGGATTGGAGGTCTTTTGTTCCCAAGTGATAGCTCTAACAGTGATGAAAATGTCAGTGACAGTGAATTCCAGGGTTTTGAAGTGAGTGTTACCGGAAAAAGTGCCCAGGATAACGTAATTAGTGATGAAAACCCAGATGACCCACAACCTTCCACTCTGGTGCTGTGCCGGCTTGTTCACGTTCACGTTCGCCTGTACCAGGACGAAGAGGAAACTATTTGGTCGTGTACAACACCCTGATGATAGCAGTGATAGTGGTAGTGATTTCAAGGTCATTGAAAGCAGTTCTAGTGACAGTGAGGGTGAATATTCCCCAGTGAAGCGGCAGTATGTACGACTTAGCATGCGGTCTGGTAGTGTTTCATATGTTGTTCCAAGGGGAAGGAGAAACTCTGGGAGCACATCCCGTGGCCCTACACCACGACCTGATAGTGAAGATGACGATATTGTAACGATGGGTATGAATGATGTGAGTGAGGGAGGAGGCAGTGGTGGTGATAGTGAGGGTGGCACGGCCCATGTGGCACCATCACCGGGCCACGCTACTAGCCACGCGGCTGACTCTGCACAACAACCAGCCTCACCCGACCCCACACTCCCACAACCTGCACTCCCACAACCTGCACCACCACAACCTGCACAACCACAACCTGCACAGCCACAACCACGGTACAATATCCAGACCCCACCAGCAGACCGCATCTGGGATTGGCAGGACGGTGACGAGTTTGTTCCCAGTCCCCATGACTTTGATGAAACACAAAGTGGAATAAAGCCATCATGTCCACTTGGGAACAATGCCAGTGAACTGGACTGCTTTGAGTTATTCTTCGATGAACCCCTGATGGACATCATTGTCAGGGAAACAAACACATACTGTGATTACACCATGGCAAATACAATTCTCTCACCAAAATCACGGCTACACAAGTGGAAGGAGACAACTGTGGCAGAGATGTACCTGTTTTTTGCCACAATAATGCTTATGCCACATGTGTATAAGCACACTGTCACCACATACTGGGCAACAGAACGCCTGATTTCAACTCCAGGTTTTAGTGACATTATAGGTGTCAATCGTTTCCTGATACTGTTACGTATGTTACACTTTTCAGACAAAACCAGGCCTGACAGAAGCGACAGGTTATATAAGATAAGAAATGTGTTTATGTACCTGAAACTAAGTGCTGCATGTATTTTTATCCCTTCAGGAAGCTTGTTATTGATGAGTCCTTGATTTTATTCAAAGGAAGACTCTCATTCAAGCAATATATACCAAGCAAGAGGAAACGCTTTGGTATAAAGTTATTTGTACTGTGTGATTGCAGAAGTGGTCTAGTTTTGGATATCATTGTGTACACTGGCAGTAATACTTTGAGAGATACCATGAAGTTATTGGGTATCTCTGGTGATGTGGTTCGAGCAATGATGGAACCATATCTTGGTAAGGGGCATATGTTATTTACTGATAACTGGTACACAAGCCCCTTACTCAGTGATTTCTTGCGAGTGAACTTGTGTGGCACAGTGCGTCGTAATCGTAAACATATGCCAAGGTTCGACGCTGGCACTCGCAGAGGTGAGGTGCAAGCCTTTGCTGCCAATGACATCATGGCATTTCGGTGGCATGACAAACGTGATGTCACATTATTGACATCAGTTCACCGAAACGAAATGGTACACAGTGGCAGGCACAACAGAGAGACCAATGAAC